CAATTCCCCATTATGATGCAAAACGAAAGCGAAAAACTAAGAAATATTAGAGAGAAGAAAAGGAGGGAAGGCGCAGCTGTCTGTTTCTAGCCAGCTGATATATATACATAATAAGAAAGTGGCTGAAGCAGGCCGTCCCTTTGTTCATAAACGCCACATTATTGTTTGATAATAATAAGATTTTAAGGGTAGTTATTAGATTACGATTGTTACTAAATCAATGTTTATATATTAATAATTATCATTTTCAACTTTAAGGCATGACGAATGGCCACTGGCACTAGGCCTGGGAAAGCGGCACGACCTCCACGTGGAGATTTCTTACAAAGTTTGGGAGCTTGTACTACTAGGCTTAGGTCTTTGGGTGTGGACGAGGTCACATGATCCTATATTCATAATATAAGATTTTATTTTAGATTTTGGTATAAGATTTGAAAATTTAATTTATAAAAAATATAATTAAATTATAATCTCATATTATAAATAAAATATTTTTTAAAAATTTTATTCAAATATTCAAATATTATAATCTTATATTTTATTAAAATTAACAAAATAATATAATTGTAATATTCTTTATAACATAACATCGTTATTTTACATTCTATAATTTTATTTCTAAAATTAATTCTGCATTCTATAAATCAAACATCTTTTAATTTTATTCTATTTAATAGTAAATAGTATGACATTCTTAAAAAAATAATTTCAAAACAGTAATATATTATTTTTTATACTTGAAAAAGAAAATTAGTAAAAACTTTAAATAGAATAGTATTAAGATTATTTAATCATTAAAATGATAACACTTTAATAACTTAATATTATTTGATACTAAAAATCAATAATATATTTGATACATAGTTTATATCGATAATTAAACGAAAACAAAGTCTAAACCTATGCAAAGATAAGTACTAATTTGTAAGCATGCGTGTGATGCGATGGTGAATTGTTTTTGGCATGACAGGACAATAACTATCTTTCCAACATCACCTTTAACATGTCATGCTAACTCCTAGGCCAACCCTTAGGCTTTTATTAAGGGATATATGAAAAAAATTATGTTACGAGAAATTAAATTTATAAAATTTTAAGAGATAAAAAAATAAGATATTAATAAAATATTAAAAAGTTTTAAAAGGACAACCATACTATACATCTTCTTGATTGATCCCTGCTTTCACCCCAAATGACTTTTTTACTACAACGTGACCTTACTGCTCTTTATCCCATAATTTTTTACCAACACAAAAGCAGAACTTCGAATCTTTCCGCGCCAGCTTTCATCCTTATCCAGTTGTTTTAAAATGGTTTATTTTTTATATTAAATTATAAATTCGATATTTTATTATTTTGTGTATTTTTAGTTTTTTATTCTTATTTTTTATTTTAATCTTAAATAATGTAAAGGTTAAAGATTTTGTTGGGATAACGTATAGTGTCAACAAAAGCATATTCTATAAAATGTTTTTTTTAAACGTTACTTACATGATATATTTTTATTATATAAGTGTTGTTTTCTTGAATAAAGTTTTTAGAGATTTCTTAAATAATAAAAAATATTATCAATACAATATTACCCGAAGCGTACAAAATAAAAGCACCCACTTTTTTTCCTTTTTCTTTTCTTTTCATGGAATATTGGAACAGTAAACACATTTTTTTTAAAGCAGAGAAATCCAATGCAATTGAAGTAAACCCAGAGTGACATCTAATCAACATTTTCCTTGAAGATGCCATTTACTGTAAAAAAGAAAGAAAGAAAGAAATATAAGCAGAATAAAGGCCAGCTATAATTTGGATTTTTTTCCTTAATATTTTAACCCTTCTTTTTCGGTAGAACATTAACAAATAAACAATTTTATCACCTAAGGCGGCTATCTCATGCTCCTGCATCTAACTCTATGAAAGAATCTTTTAGGTTGATCAATATATTGTTATTTTAATTGTTTTTTTATATAAATAGTATTTCGATTATAGTGTAGTTTTGTTGAATCTTTCTATTATTAAAATTTATAAAATGATTATCTAATAATAAGATGTTGTTTTTATTAAGTCTATCGACTATTAAAAGTTACAAAATTGTCACCTGACTATTTATATGTTTCAAACTCATTATTTTCTATTAAGAAATTGGCGGACTTTTGAGCTGGACAACAATAGGTTAATGTCTTAAAATACAACTTAAACGGTTCTAAGATCAGATTTTATTATATCTCAGTTAACAGGATAACATACAATTTAGACGACCATTAATTTTTTAACAGAAAATGACAAGATTAGAACATATAAATAGTCGGGTGATCATTTATATCTTTTAATAGTTGAGGACTCAACAAAATAATATTTTGTAATGAGATAATCATTTTGTAACTTTTAATAGTAAAAAAAAACTCAATAAAGTAATAATCTATAGTCGATGGACCATTTTTATACTTTACCCTTTTATTAATAAAATATACTGCACGATTTGATTAAATTAATTTTTTATTATAAGTTTTTGTCGCATTGTTAATTTAAATGTTAGTTTCGATTTTTTTAAAATTAATTAATTTAATATTGAACAAAACTAATTGAAATCTGTATTGTTTAAATGTATTAAATTTCTCATAGAATTCAATGCTAATATTGAAGTTTAATTAAATGTATCGTTAATTCAAAACTAATGCTGAAGTTTGAAAGAACAACTACAACGTTTGAAAAATTAATCTTATTGAACTATAAAAAGAAATACTTTAATAAATAATTTCATATATTCTTTTCATCATGTTATTTATGATTATGTTAACTCGATTAATAAAAAAATTTGGTGAAAGCTTAAATAAAATTTAAAACTTTTTGTACAATCGATTGAGTAGTTTAACTTTCTCAATCAAAGTTTACAGTCACTACCTTAGCTTGTCACCACTAAAGATTTTTCATTTATGATACTTAAATTGAACCTTTTAAAAATAAAGTCTAACCTTTATAATTTTATTTTTTTACAATTGTTAAGATAGAACAATTCTAATATTCTAGGGCTAAACTAAAACCACTACCTCTTGTAAGAAGTTAAAGAAGGCGCTGAACAAGTACTATTAATCACTATCAATCACTACCTCACTGAAATACTAATATGAAAAATAGACAAATTCAAGTACTATTATGGAGGAAAAAAAGTCCAAGTATCAATGTGAAAAAATGAACAAGTTCAAGGACTAAAACTTGACATTTCATACAATTTCGTCATATAAACTAAGTGAGCTGGTCAAAGGGTCAATGACACAAGGATGACGCAAAGCGTGACAATGAAGAGGCAAATTAAGGCATATATTTTCAACTAGTAAATAGAGCATCTTCATATTTTTTTTATACCTAAGATAATACAGCATCTCCTCCACAGCGGAAACAACTTTTTAACTTTAATATAAAACTATTATTATTATTATTAGATAATAAGGAATATATTTGAGTTTAGGGTTTTATGCTTGCAATAAGCTCCCTACCAAAATTAAATTACGTCCAATAATTAACGATATCATCATGTTACGTAAAAGGTATGGCGATATATATAAATTTCCCACCTAAACACTGGTTAAAGATGATTTTGTTTTAATAATTTTAAATGATTATAAGATAATCTCGATAATAATTTTTAATATATTGACAATTTATATACACTATACAAATACAATTGTTTGAATTCAAGATATCTAAGAAAAATAATATTATCTTTTATCACTGAGTCTCAATGAATACAATTAAAGACAATTTTCTCATTAAACACCCGCCAGATAGATTATGTTTTGACAGCAAAATATAGGGTTCTAGAGCATGAACTATAAGTGCAGTCATAAAGTGAAACACAAAAACGTTTCAACAACACTGACATTAACTCTATAATTGTAACATTATATATATGTGGTTGAATACAATGAAATGTTTAAGACTTGTAGCCTCTGATTTAAGATTTTTACTTGTTTGCTTTTGGCATTTAATATATAAATAATGTTTGCTTTTAACACCAACATTATTTTTGTCTTTTAACTTTTATTTTTTCCCAAACAAAGATATACACATTTGAATTGACGTTAACAACCAAATTCATGCATGATCGGAAAAGATATCTCCACTTTTATTATTTTTATTTTTATTTTTAATCTTTTCTCCTTCCTTTGTTTTTTTCATGAATGATGATTACCATTGTTCCGTTGCATGCATTTGAAATTAGGACGCTAATGGATGGGCAATTGGACCATATTGTTAGGCCGAACGAGCAGTCACAGGAAATGTGGGGGCACAAATGGCCATCACCCCTTGGCATGGCTTCACTCACATGTATCCTGTTAATAGCCTGTCAGGAAAGGACTGGTCTAACTCATACTGGGATCCTACAACTTGAACTCTTTTTTAAGCATTGATTGCAATAATATATGTTTCGTTGGTATCAGATATGACTAGACTATATATATGCACATTGTGTTGGTTTTATGATGAAGCAAGTCCATACAACTACACGACAACAGACTTAGGATGGTTGCTGAAGCCATTTTATTGGCTAGTTGACTCAACATGCAAGTGTCACCTCTTAAAGAGGTGGAGATCTAAAATTCACGTCGAAAAAAAAAGAGTAGCTGTAAAATTTATAAACTGGGATTTTTGATATTCTATCAAACATGTATTTTGAAGAAAAAAATAATGATCTCACAAATGATATCAGAATAATCCTTTGGTTGTCCGGTTTCAAATCGAGCATCCTAACAAGAGAGATAAACAAGGTGAACAACTGTGATAAATACTTCACTAATTGAGTGGGTGGGAGAATGTCACGCCTTGAAGACATGGGGACATGAATCTCACATCGATAAGAAAAATGAAGCGCTACACATCCTATCATATATGTCTTTTAAGAAGAAGATAACGACTTCGTGACACAAACATGAACCAGCAATTGACGAGTATTCAACCAATTGAACCAACCAAGGTTAACATGCATTAATGAGTACATGGGTTCATAAACACACGCACCGGAGACGCGCGAAATACTCTATAATCATATATAAGATGTCCTAAACAACATCAAAGTACCACTAAAGGAGCTGAACTAAGGAAATACACTATATTTGTTTGAACTTTGCAGCAGCATGTTTTTTTTCATGGAGTTAACAGTTGGTGAAAATGGACGAGATCGATGTCGTCGTTGTTGAGAAACATAGTTTCTAAGGTGATGCTCACTATGTCCGAAGATCAATCACACTGATGGGCAGAACTTGTTGAGATCGAAGGGCAGGGAATAGAACTCCTCACTCCTTGCATCTGATTTAAACGATCTGTACTTGTCCCAAAAATGCATGCCGCGATCCTTCCTGATCGCATTTTCTTTCCCGTGCAACGTGCAATCGAGGAACATTGCCAATAAACCGGCAACGAATGCTTCGGATGAGAATGGCACGTTTATCATGTCGTTGAACTGCGAAATCGAAGAGGAATAACTATGCTTTCTGCAAGGGATTCAAAATAGAGTTGTAAAAGAAAGGGTAAAAAGAAAACAGATAGTTACCCATCTAGCTCTAGTATGAACTGGACCGAAACCATTAGCTGCTGTGTACTCGTTGAAGTACTGTGGTATTGATAATCCCATGAAAACAGAGAAACCTAATATAAACTTTGTTTTGAAGCTGTTTAAGTTACAGAACTGAAGAAAGTTGAGACCCCCTGAACCTGGACATGTCATTAAAAAAAAGGTGTTGAATTTTGGAAATATTGGATGGAACAGAAATAATAAATCTTGATTCAGATATGACTTACCAACATACGCGAAGAAAAGACAATATAAAGCTGCAAAAATCGGAGATGGAATCGAAGCAAAAACTGCTCCGAATTTTCCTGTTTAGTAATGAATGCAAACACATATGAGCAAGGGAGTGTGACAGACAGAAAGCAAGAGAGATTGGCATTTGAAACTGACCAAGGATGGAGAAGAAGATCATGAACCCTGCAGATATCTGGACAACTCTTCGACTGCCAACACGAGTTAGTGCCAACAAACCGGCATTCTCACTGCCATTGTTCACAAGGTGTTAGATGAACAAAAGTTGTTTTCTTGTCTGCCACTAGTTGCAGGAAAGAATCTTACACTGAAATGGATGATCCATTCCCGGTTCCGAATAGTCCCGAAAAGAGAATGCCAACACCCTAAGAATGAAGCAAACAAAACATAATCATACTCAACATCTCTAAAAGTCCAAGCAATTTGATTTAGGCTTTGGCAATTTGTATAGAAATTTATCATTTTATTTTTACCTGCCAACCGATACCACGGCTGAGAATGGAAGGGGGCATCGGAGTTGCACTTGCATATCTTGCAACAGCAATGTAGGTACCAGTAGACTATTTAACAATATGGTATAAGTGTTCCAAAATTAGATAAATGTGATTAGTAAAAATTATCGGAACCGATATCAAGACCATAACAGAAGAAGAAAACCTCTACTAAAGCAACAAATGAAGCTGCCATCATAGCAAAAGCTTCTCCGGCATCGAACGTGGGAGCTCCCCATTGAAACGGATATGGAACCCTTATCCTGTTCAAAAAATGTTGTATTCAATTACATGAGCATTATTGTTCTTATACAGACAGCAAAACAATGAACTGTTAGTTGCACACGATAGTGACTTTCTCTGGGTGCACGTTAGCAGGTCTAACGGAACAGGAAAATCCATCGTGCCTCCGGTGAATCTCTCGTCCTTTCAGCTTGTTTTAAAGTCGGGATTCTTCCAAGCTATCTCCCTTTTGTCGCATGGATTGGAGAAAACTTTTTGGGAGTTCAACCAGTCAATCCCTTAACTACCACCCCCGATTATCAGAGATGGGATTCCAATGATCAATCCTCCCCTAGAGATCCTAGAAGCCAGAATATCCGAATGGAAATCATCCTTAGTGGGGCAGTTCCTCGGACCAGAGCCTAATTTCACAACAATGCAAAGAATTGTTGACTCGCTGTGGACAAAAGCTCTGCAAGGTTCACGTGTTCAGGTGAGTATCGCGGGGAGCAATCTATATGTCTTTTCTTTTTCATCAGAATCTGCTAGGGATTGAGTTATTGAAAATGTCCCTTGGCACATACTTAACAAACCCCTAATTCTAAGAAAATGGGAACCCTATCTTAAACACTTGAATTTTGATTTATCCAAAATCTCTATCTGGGTTCATCTGTTCAACGTCCCATTAGAACTTTATTCACAAGAAGGATTAAGCTATATTGCTAGTTGCATTGGTGTTCCTATCTCGATGGACTCGGTTATGGCCTCTAAAACCAGACTTAAATTTGCAAAGATCTGTGTTGAAGTAGGAGTTGAAGATGCCATTCCAAAAACCTTAGATGTTGTTCTTAAAGACAACATAACCACTTCGATACACATCGAGGTTCCTTGGCTGCCCCCTTGCTGTAGGAAATGTAGGGTGTTTGGCCATAATGAAAAAATTTGTCTGGCCAAAACTAATACAAATCCTACCCAAGTATGGAAGAGAAAAGCTGGCTCTAGTTCTAAATTCACTTCCTCGCTAGTAGAACCAGAACTTTCTAAGATTCAAGACATTACTAATCCTGATCCTGCTGAATCTCTTCAAGAGACGGTTAATGCATCTGATCCTAATTGCTCTGATCTAAATGAAGTTCCATCTAATTATATTGTTGGCTGTCAAGAGAAAGACTCTGTAATTAAATCTATTCCTACTGACATTATTTGTACTACTCCTAATGAAGTTTCATCAGACACAATTATTGGCTGTCATGATAAAGTTTCTGCAACTCCTACTGACTCTATTCCTCCATTTAAAGAGGGAACATCGTTATCACAAAATTCAGTTCCTAAGAGAGTTAGAGGAAGACCATCTAAGGACAAAGCCTCTTTCGCAGGCTCCAGCAATAGATTTGAACTTCTTAACTCGGTTGAAGATAACTCCTCAACCCTCGATGTGCCTCAAAGAACAAGTCGAAATGCTTCCAAGGGTGTATCCGAACTGGTAAAAGAGCTTAAGCAGAAAAAGAAGAGCAAACTGGATAAAGTCAAAAGTTTAGCAGTAGGGGGTGCAAGTTCCTCCGTAGGCTCTCCTTCTCAATGATTGTCAGTTTTTGGAACACTAGAGGATTCAATAATCCTCTAAAACAAGACAAGGTACTTCTTAGAGCTTCTCAGAATAAAGTTGATATTTTATGTTTGTTAGAAACTAGAGTTAAAGAAGAGAAATCCAGTAATATTTTTAATACTAAACTTGCTTGTTGGAATGTTAGCACAAACTATGGATTTGCTGTTAATGGGAGAGTTTGGATTCTATGGAAGAAGAATATTGAGTTATCTGTTATTCAAACTTTTGATCAGATCATAACTGTCAAAGGATTATTCTTAGGAACTCCGTTTGTTATATTTGATGTCTATGGAAGCAATGACAACATCATTCGAAGACAGCTCTAGCATCAGTTACAAAACCTGGAAAGAAACATTGGTCATCTTCCTTGGATACTAGGTGATGACTTCAACATCACTTTGCACCCTTATGAATCTTCAGACCTTGAACGGCTCTGCCCTTCCTCCTCCCCGGAAATGAAAGAATTCTAGGATGTCTCCCAAGATCTTGACCTCCATGATCACCCCTTCATTGGATCACTTTTCACATGAAGCAATAAGCAATTTGGTTCCTATCTTGCTAGGAAGCTTGACAGGGTTCTTATTAATTCTAATTGGGCTACTGCTTTTCATAACTCTGCTGTTGAATTCTTAGCTCCAGGAGTTTCAGACCACTGCATGGTTATTGTTTGGCTAACGAAAGAAGCTCTAACCAACAACCCCAAACCTTTTAAATTCTTTAATTTCTGGACACTTCACCTCAATTTCCTGAGTATTGTGGAGCAGTCCTGGCATCCTCCTGCCCTTGGTAGTCCCATGAATATTTTGTTCCTAAAGCTCAAGCGCCTCAAGACCAATCTTAAAAATCTCAACAATTCTTGCTACAGTGATTTACCTTCTCGGGTCAAAGCTAAGAAGCTTGAATTAGAAAAACAACAACTTCTTTCTTTAAATGGTGAAGATTCTTTTGATAAAGAACTTCAATTACAAAAAGACTTACTTATCCTAGAAGAAGCCGAGCTCATATTCTTGAAACAAAAAGCAAAGGTTCAATGGATCAAAGAAGGGGACAAATGCTCCAAATTCTTCCACGCTGCAGTAGCTGTTAAGAAAAAGAAGGAAACTATCCGAATGCTCATTAATGATCAAGGATTAAGACTTGAAACCTTTGATGCAATGGCTTCAGAAGTGCAAGAATTCTATATGAATTTAATTGGGAAAGTGGATAACAAAGTTAAAGGTTGTGACCATGAGTTCTTGAAAGACATTCTGAACTATTCAATGCCTCCTGATCTCTCTTCTAATCTTACCAAAGATGTCACCACCGAAGAAATCAAAGAAGTTATCTTTGCTCATGGTAACGACAAAGCCCCTGGGCCAGATGGTTACACTCCTCTGTTCTTCAAAAAGGCTTGGACCATAGTTGGAGAGGATGTTGTGGGAGCTGTAAAATATTTTTTCCAGCATTCTTCAATGCTTTCTGCATTCAATGCTACCACTATTGCTCTAATCCCTAAAACTCCAAACCCTATCAAAGTCAAGGATTTCAGGCCTATATCCTGCTGCTCAGTCATCTATAAGGCCATAACCAAGATTTTAGTCCAAAGACTGACCTGCCTCATCCCTGGAATGGTCTCTCTCAACCAAACTGCCTTCATTAAAGGCAGAAGCATTGTAGACAATACTCTCTTGGCCTAAGAACTAGTAAAGGGATATGGAAGGAAAGTTATATCCCCAAGATGTGCAATAAAGATTGACCTCCAAAAGGCATTTGACACTCTTTATTGGGGTTTTTTATCTGCTGTCCTGAAAGCCTTGGACCTCCCCCAAATATTTATTAACTGGATCGAAGCTTGCTTCACAGGAGCTAGATTCTCTATTTCCTTCAATGGGATCCTTATTGGATACTTCAAAGGAGCAAGAGACATTCGTCAAGGTGACCCCCTTTCACCCATTCTTTTTGTAATTACCATGAATATTCTTTCCCAAATGCTGAATTTGGCTGCTGCTAGAGGCATCTTTAGTTATCATCCAAAATGTAAGAAAATAGGACTCACTCACCTATCATTTGTCGATGACTTGTTGATCTTTTGTAAGGCCAATGTTGAATATGTCATATGAGTCATCTATGTTTTTGACCATTTTTATGAATTGTCTGGACTGAATTTAAATGCTGCTAAGTGTGTTTCCTTCTCTGTTGGAATTTCAACGATGAACATCGAACAGATTAAACAAGCTACTGGTTTTTCGTACGGTTGCTTACATGTTAGATACCTTGGTGTCCCATTGACTACTAGAAAACTTTCTGAGAAAGATTGTGACCCTCTTATTGCTAGTATTAAAGCAAGACTCACTTTATGGTCTGGTAAAAACTTGAGTTACGCTGGTAGACTGGAACTCATAAGAGCAATTCTGTTCAGCATTGCTAATTACTGGTGTAGGCAGCTTCTTCTCCCTCAATCAATAATTAGCAAAGTTAAACAACTTTTCTCAAGGTTCTTCTGGAAGGGCTCTGACAAATCTGCATCAGGAGCAAGAGTTAATTGGATAAAAATCTGTCAACAAAAATCAGAGGGAGGGCTTGGGCTGAAAAACCTTAAAATCTGGAACAAAGCCTGCATGATTAAGCTTATAAAGAATATACTGGCTGGAGAGGGTTCTTTATGGGTGGCCTGGATTAATTCCTATGTCATACGAGATAGAAACCTGTGGAAATTGGTAGGAAATGTAAACTACAGTTGGAGTTTAAACCAAATACTCAAGTTACGAACTGAAGTAACCACAACAATCTTGAATGGTGCTCTTTCTATAAAGGACATTTGGCAGGAGATAAGGGTGAAAGGAAGGAAAAGTTCCATGGCATTCTTTGATATGGTTTCCACAACATATTCCCAAACACAGCCTGCTAGCCTGGATGACCACCCTCGACAGACTGCCTACTCGTGATCGCCTGCAGCGTATGGGAATTACTACAGATGGGAGTTGCGTGCTATGTAATGAAGCAATGGAAACTAGAAATCACCGGTTCTTTGATTGTTCCATTGCTTCCTTCCTATGGAACAAAATTTTGTTTTTAACAGAATTACAAAATTCTGTACTTCATGGGATGACCTGTTAACTTGGGCTTCAAATACATGGGAAGACAAGTCCCTCCTTACCACTACTCTCAAGCTTGCTTGGTGTGCCTACATATACATTCTATGGGAGGAACGTAATCGAAGGATTTTTACTGGATGCTCCCGATCCAAAGATGAGCTCCTTGATTATATTAAAGAACTAGTAAGTGTTAAGCTTAGAGGGAAAAGAATCAATAGGAATGACAGAGTCAACTCTCACCTCTATATTACATGGGGAATTGACTAAACCGATCTGTTTTATTTGTATGTAGAATGTATATATTGTATTGAGATCGGTATTTTTGTAGCAAACTTTGCTTTACTGGGTAATAAAGATGAATTATCCAAAAAAAAATGAACTGTTAACTATCCAATTACAAGAATAATAGATCCCACAGATAATATCATATTGCCTTGTGAATGAAGAAAGAAAAGTGACTTACCAAGGAGAACCACCTATAATCCCAGCACGATCGGTCCTGCAGCTCATTTGAATTTTAGGTCCAGTGTTCTTATATGCTCCGCCGACAGTCAGCAGGTGAGCATATAGCCAGACAATCACAACAGATAATATAAAAGCAAAGCGGTCAAACATGTGCTGCTCCCCGCTTGTAATATGAGGTATATACTGCAAAAAACACAGAAGGTGATTGTTACAAATTTACAATTCAACAAAATGTTCTTGTATGATCAAGGTGATCAAGCATTAACCATCTTTTTCGGTATCTTTAAATGGAAAACATAAATTACCTGTGCAAAAACTAAGAGAAGGATGATCTGTGGTAACCCGATCTCAATGCATTTGGCAAGCTACAAAAGAAATAACCAGGCTTGAGAGACAAATATGAAACAGTTTTATAACAAATGTTCCCACAGGAAGCTGATGCATACCACAGGAAAACCAAACTCATAGAGCCCAAAGCCAGAGAGAGCGACCAGGGGAACCGCAGATAGAGGACTTAAGAACCTGGAAAAGCATTGAAACATATAAAAAACTTGCATAGAGCAGTTCCAGTGGTGCTATAAACTAATCTCCAGGCCTTAACTTACCTTGCAAGATTACGCCAAAGGCCACTAAATCCGAGTACAATCTGAAGGGTGGAGGCAACAATAAGGGCGCCCTGGATTCCGTGCATGATCCTCTCGAATTTCTGCATATCCAATAGAGAAACCCCTTTTCAGTTCTGGGATTCTGTTAACTTATCACAAGTAAGAAACAAAAGTGTAGGGTCTTAGCGAAGCTAACCTCTTGAGGATTTACAATGTCAGTATAGCGGCCGGCCAAGACGATCGAAATGGTGGTCGGCATATAGGTATAGGAACCTCCGATCACTGCCGGAAGACGGGTACCAAACAATGTTTGGAATAATGTGTTCACCCCCGCCACAAATAGCAATGTCTGAATCATCTTTGCTTTCTCTTCCTAATGCAAAGAAGTGTACACATGGGTGAAACACATAAATAAATTTAGACAAAAATAAACAATATAAACATGAAGAACTAATTGTCTATTTGTGAAAAACATACATTTCCACCTCCCATCTGAGGAACTAGAGAGGTTGGTATGAGAACAGTAGTCCCAAGCATCACCAAGTAATGTTGAAAACCCAGTAATAAAGCCTCAGCTGCAAATGAAATGAGAAACAAAACCACGCACTGTTATCACATAGACATTTGTATAAAAGAATTAATAATGAATATAGAAACTAAATGAAAATTGACATATTTTTATATGAAAAAGTTAGAAAGTTGACGAAATTGGGATTTAAAAACCAACAATAAGTAACCAAGATAGAGAGTTTTAAAATGAGAGAAACTCACGCCAAGGAGGAGGACTAGTCATGCAATAAGCAACGCCAGGCAGCTGCTCCTTGACTGGATGCGGCAGTAACTCATCTTGCTTTGGTTTTGGTGCAGCTCCTCCTCCACCACCACCACCTCCTCCTCCTCCTGCCATTTCTCTATCTTTTCTTGGTTCAAACCTTCTTTAAAAACCAGAAATTTCTAAAAGAAAACCCAAATCGCCAAAAACAAATTCCGAATGGAAAATCTTTCAAAACCAACAACAAAGTTCTGTTTTTGTTCTAAAAAATAAAAAAAAATCCGAGAACCAGATGATACCACAATCCCCAGAAGAGCAAATAAAAATAAAAATAAATATGAGAGAAACCCTTGCATTCTAAGTTTTGAGAAAACAAAGAAAGGTGGTGACTACTGGAATGACCGTGAAAACGAATACGAAAGACAAAAGAGTTACGAGAAGATAAGCATTACAGTGAAAAAGATATCAACTTGGGGCAGAAATAAAGAATCATTACATAAAGAGAGAGTGAGACAGAAAAAGGTATGAACCGTGAAGTGTGAAGGTGAAGAAAGGCACAAATTCCGCTGTGTCTGTGTGTTAACCAAAGGAATCTCTTTCACTTTCAATTGATTTCTTTTTTTATTCTCTACAGATTCTTCCTTTTCATTTTCTTTCCATCACGTAAAAGTAATAAATTCTTTCACAACGTACATGATAAAAGCATCTTCGAATTATCTTTACCAAAGCTACTACAAAATATTCCACATTTCCACCAATTACTATGGTATATAAAGGATAAGTAAGAAGGGAAAAAAATCATATTTGGCAAAGATCAACATGAATAAAACCCTCTTTTCTCACATCAAAGTAAAGTTGAAAGCTGGCATTTGTATCCTCTGAAGTAAGAGACAAATATATGATTACAATTATTTCTTAATCGATGTTCCACTCAGTCTCAACCTATTAAGAATACTACAATAGAGGTGTCTGTAGCCGGAGGGAGGCTAGGTTTAACATAAATTATTCAAGCTTGTATGTTTTTATAATTAAATTTAAATTATATACAAGTTAGATTAATACGTGGATTAAATTTAATAAATTAAAAAACTATGACTGTCCTCTCCAGGCTACGAATTTAACTAGTAGCTGGTTGAGAAACATATGCATTTTCCACAACAAAATAAATTACTTTCATATGGCTCAAACCCAGGGCCAAAGGAGAAAAAGCAATGACTTTTAAATCATTTTAGAAACATAGACTAGTTAAATATTGTCGAAACAATTTTTTTCTTAAAATAAAAAAAGTGAGATTTTTAAAACTACATTAATTCTTAATTATCCTCTTTTTAATTTAAAAACAAATACGATTTAAAAGACCTCTCGTTTCGAAAAATTTTGGATTTCCTTTACGATCGAAAAATACGGTTCGAAGAGTCGCCACCAATATTTGATTAGGGTGTGATTGGGCACCCAAACACGCTTTGTCATTTTAAATAAAAATTAATTTTAATTAAAACAACAAATTGAGGTATGCGTTACCAAAAAATGAGTTCGGGAGTAGGTTACGTGTGGGGAAGGATTAGCACCCCACAACGCCCTAAATCGGTACCTAGTCGATTAATTAAAGGCTTTGCAATGAACTTTATAAATTCGAACTTAATTTGATTTTTGATCAATAAAGATGTGAATTTAATAATATTCAAAAGCACTAAATAAATTAAATTAAGATTACCAAGTCGATTTAGAAAGATAAAGAATGTTCGGTTATTTACAAATATCGAGACCAGATCTTAAAAGCTATAACAACATTTTCTCGATAAATTTAAATAGTAGAACATTTCTTTTTCTTCAATTCCTAAATTTTAAAGTGATGCATGAATTTTTAGGCGTCATTAATGGGATACACTTTTATTTTAAAATTATTAAAAGCGGACCTCAAATACGTTATGACAACCCACTTAAAACAATTTTAAATTAAAAGTGTATTACCCTTAATCCAATTATGTAATATGTCGAGTTATGCACATGAGGATATCATACAAATTGTAAAAATGATTGTCATACGATCACATATACATTAAAGATTAAATAAAGAGCTATCATGCAAAGTAACATATTCATAACAAAATTACATACACCTATTTAATAATATAAGTTAAACGCACGTTGTAATCCATTTATGTTGTAATGTATAAGTTAAAAGCATGTTGTAATACACAAAAACAACATACAACATATTAACTGAAACATATTTGATATAAATATATACATAATATTTACGAACTAGTGTTTAATAATAAATAAATAAAAAATCACAAATCCATGATTTAAACTTGAAAACATGCAACTTTTGAGGGACTGAAAATCTGAGTTTACCAAACAAAATCTGTGGCCAAAATTTAATTAACCCAAATGCTTTAATATATAAGCTAAACTAAAAAAAACCCTAAGCTAAACTCCTAAATTTAGCACTGTCATTTCTAGTACCTTTCTCCATTCTCCCTTTCTTCCCCGGTAGCTGAATCGAGAGCCTCCATCGCCACCATTCAACCACCACACCTAGGTGGCCAACTTCTACTCGACTGCAACCGTACTTCACCTCAACCGACCGGCAACCCAACGATGAAAGAAGCCTAACTACTTCGGTTTTCCATATCCCAAAAGAACCCTGTAACACCCCAACCCGTACCCGACTTGAATACGGGTCCGAGATGTCACATTGACATTTTTCAAAACCTTTACTCTTGTAAAAGTACTGAACATTTGAATTTATATTAAGAAAATACAGTCAAATATTATTCAATTGTGTGTTGTATAAAAATTTGAGATAAAAACGTTTTTATGAACGGTGAAATACGATATGAACAGTAATACAGTAACCTGCTACAGTGATTTTTCGTAAATTGTACATAACACTCATAAAAAAATTTAACAGTTCATTTCTTTGCATTTGTACTTATATATATATGTTTAAAAGATTACAAAACTCGATCAGAGCATAATACCTAATTTACCTACTTTAATTACATGCCAACCTATTTATCATAATAATACATACTGTATAATTTACTTCTGATCTGGTCTTTGGGCAGAGATATGTTGTTACTTTGAACTTAGCTTTGATCCTTCTGCTTCTCAGTACCTACGTGTAAATCACTTACACGCTAAGTCATAGACTTAGTGAAGCAAAAACATAATAACAATAATGCATTTCTCATAAATATAAACATTCAATCTATGAATTCAATCGAGTCGCATATAATTCAGTATACATGATAACCTGAGATAATATAAATACTTTTAGTACCTCTTTATCGTATAACTACATATATCGAACATTTCTCTACATACCATGGAACACATATACTACTTCACAACAAAACATACCTAGTCCATTTACTCTCTGTAAAGACCATGTATTAGCCCATGTATACTTTTGAGAACTCAAGGTATGTGAGTACATTGAGGTTGTGCACCACTATGCTGTCACAACAGCTCGATCAATGTCCCGAAGGACCAGTCCATAGATTCCGAAGAACCTAGGTAAACAGTCCATATGTCCTGAAGAACATAGGTAAACAGTCCATATGTCCCGAAGAACATAGGTAAACAGTCCATATGTCCCGAAGAACATAGGTAAACAGTCCATATGTCCCGAAGAACATAGGTAAACAGTCCATATGTCCCGAAGAACATAGGTAACCCTCGACCCTTGGCATGCCAACTATACCCCTAGCTCTCATATCACATAACATGGGCATTATCATTTATGACCGTTCACATTACTTATTCATATTCTTACTCTTATAAACACATATCGTTTCTTTTCAGTCACGTATTACATATACGTGTAATCCTTGATCTCATAATCACATGTTCCTTCTCTTCTATCACATACCAAATGTATGTGTAAACACATATCTAATATCATATGTTGCATTTTCATGTAAGCATGTAAATCATGTAACATATAACATAACATCCATTTCTATGTACTAATGCATACAGAGTAATCACATAACATTATATAAGTTACTTCTTACCATAGTAACTCTATCATTGACTCATCGCAAGCCAATGTTTGATCAATCACATAAGTACAATTTAAATTGCACTCACCTTAGCCTTGCTTTGATTCGATTATTCCGGAACTTGTTTAGGCTCAATATCTACATAAATATCATTTCAAAACAACTATCAGAAGCCTAAACTTTAAACTTGATGTTAATAACTTAAACCGGTTTAATAAATTGAATTCTGAATTTTTATTTAGGGGGGAATCGATACCCCCCCCAGGGAATCGATACCCCCTGAACAATCTGGAATTTTTCGTTCAAGAGGGGGAATCGATTCCCATTCATAGGGTATCGGTTCCCTCTGCCCAGAAATTGCATTCTAAGCTCGAAAATCATCAATTTTCAATTCTAACCTTCCTATTTTACCTCCCTTAATACTCCTAACTTTAATACACATACTTAAACTTATTTCTATTCCATAATCACTTCTTTAACTTCAAATATAGTCATTCCTATGTAATTACAAAAATTCTACTAGTTTTGCAACATGTTCAAATTCCTATTCTAACACTTCCTATCCCTTAATTAACTTGATTACAAGTCAAATTCAACTTTCAATTCTCAATATACACTTTATTTCAATATTTCATTCCAAAACTCCTAATCTTTAAATCCTCATAAACTCTTCATTTTGTTGTTTTAAAGCAAATTAATCCTTCCTTAATCTTACTTAGCATCTAATAATCAAAACTAAACTTAAATTTCAGCACATAATCAACTCAAGAGACAACTTACCTTTTGCTTGGCTTCACACGTGAAGAGAAAAAAATGAAGAAGGAAAAGAGAGAAGAGATTTTTCTGGAAAAATCTCCATCCTTATCCATATATATATATCATTTAATTATATTTTCAAGTCTAATGACCATTTTGCCCTTTAACTCTTTAGATAATTACAATAAACTTTTAGGAAATATTTTTGACAAATCATTAAACTATTAAACTATTATACTTTAATCACCATATTATGAAATTTTACAATTTTGGTCACTATCCCGTATTTTGGGATGTTACAAATCTTCCCCCCTTAAGAAAATTCGTCCTCGAATTTTCATTGCACCAGGAGATAAGATATTGTCTACACATCTCCAATGA